TACTGCAGGGCTCTGGGACTCAACAGAGGCTGGGACCTTGCAAGGCCTGCTTACATATACCTTCCCTCTGTGAGGAGCTGTGGTTTCATACATGCTATGTAATACTTCTTAGAATTAATTTTGCTCTATTTTGCAGTTTCTTTAGTGACTAAACTTGTGTCTCATTATTCATTACTGGACTTAGATGAAGACAAGAGTAGGTTGCGTTGGGCAAGAGACTGAAAACCAAGTATAGTACTTGACAGTTTGTTTGGACTGTAAGCAACTGCATAATACTAGGATAACTAAGCAGGGAAGTGATCGTGCCCCTGTACTCGGCACTGGTGAGGCCGCACCTCAAATACTGTGTTCAGTTTTGGGCCCCTCACTACAAGAAGGATGTTGAGATGTTGGAATGTGTCCAGAGAAGGGCAACGAGGCTGGTGAGGGGTCTGGAGCACAAGTCTTCTGAGGAGCGGCTGAGGGAGCTGGGGTTGTTTAGCCTGGAGAAAAGGAGGCTCAGGGGAGACCTCATTGCTCTCTACAACTACCTGAAAGGAGGTTGTAGCGAGGTGGGTGTCGGTCTCTTCTCCCAAGTAACTGGCGAAAGGACGAGAGGAAATGGCCTCAAGTTGCGCCAGGGGAGGTTTAGATTGGATGTAAGGAAAAATTTCTTTACTGAAAGAGTGGTTAAACATTGGAAGAGGCTGCCCAGGGAACTGGTTGAGTCCCCATCCCTGGAAGTATTTAAAAGACGGGTAGATGAGGTGCTTAGGGACATGGTTTAGTGGGCACGGTGGTGTTGGGTTGACGGTTGGACTCGATGATCTTAGAGGTCTCTTCCAACCTTAATGATTCTATGATTCTACTACGAAAAAGCTTGGAAGGTAGGAAAACATGTTCATAGTGGCATGGAGTGAGTCAAACATGCAATAAGTACAGATAAAAAGAGGTGTCTTGGGGCTTTTTTTTGTGCTGATGTGAGAGCAGTCATTTTTTGACAAACACCTTGAACCATGAGAATATTTAGTGTAAAATGAAGTGTGAGATTGATATTCTACAATTTGCGTTTGTATTTCTCTATTTGTAGACTAGAGAAGGTTTCAAGGCATTGTAACTTCATTTGTACCATACCAGCATATGAATATGAGTAAAGCTGGTGAGATATTTAAACAGAAAATGCAACAAGATTTTGGTTTATGTCATAAGGGCTAGTTGTTCTGTGGTTGTGATGTCTGGTGTGCATCATTTGTTACTTTTTGGTAAAATAGAAGAGTAAGCAACGCCATCTGTTTTATGACTATTCATTGAATATTTTGCTACTGGTATTCGATACTCCTATTTTTAGAAGAAAAAATTTGATAGAGCCAAAGATCTATGATTTAGAGAAGATACAAAATCACATCTAATTCATCCTGCTTGTTTATGACTACAAACTTCCAGGTGTTGGCTCGTGGTCGCCTAAAAATTGCATGCAAATGAGTGTTTGTATGTATGTTTCAAGAATCTGGAAACATTGAGATGAAGAGAGATTGTTAGTCTTATTTCATTAAGACGAAATTCTTCAGCAATATCACACCGTGCAGCTA